GGTTCATCTTATTTTGGGAGCAATAAGGAACTTTTGGTATTCCTTAGCGTTTTGAATTCTCTATGCTGAATGAGGAAGGATTCTGTTTTAGGATATGTTGGCTGTGGTAAGGGGATCATAAGTCAAATGTTCATGGTACCCACAAAAGACCAGGATTGGCCTATTAATTTCTTGTTACTACATCTGTCGAAAAATGGGTGATAGAAAATGATGCAAAAACCTGGTAAACGGCTGGGTTCTGTTTAACAGAACCTAAGATTTTCCTTGTTCTCTGCTGTTCTTATTTCTAAGAGTTTGTAAAAAACAACAAAACAAAACAAAAACAAAGCGTTACGATTAGTCTTGACTAATTCTGAACGTTAGAATAATTTTCTGCTGGGTTTTTAATATGTGAGCTCATCCTTTAAAGACCAACTTTTTTTCAGGGCTGGTGATTCTTTCAGGTATGACAGGAAATGGATTTGTACTAATTTTATTTTCCTTGTTCGTTTCTTAAGGTGGTCATTCGGAGATTACCTCCCACTTTGACCAAGGAGCAGCTTCAGGAACATCTTCAGCCTATGCCGGAGCATGATTATTTTGAGTTTTTTTCTAATGATACTAGGTAAAATGAATAAATAAAAGAGGGCGGGGGTAAATGAAAATTTTTCTTTCATTCTTTTTTACCCTACTGTTTCCATTTGATTTTTGAGCCTGTCTCTTTAATATATGCATACTTGTAATTCAGACACCTGCAAGCACATTTACATAATTGCTTTCCTCTCTGCAGTCTGTATCCTCATATGTATGCCAGAGCATACATCAACTTTAAAAACCAAGAGGACATTATTTTGTTCAGGGATCGCTTTGATGGTTATGTATTCCTTGACAATAAAGGTGAGTCCTTGTAACTGAAGGGGAGTTTCTTTGTCATTTGTATGTTTAAGACAATGTGTGTATCACAGTGTTTTCTCAGTGCCTTCATAGCTTTTCTAAAACTCGGTGATAAAATGTGCAGCATCTAAAGAGTTTTACACATTTACTAAGCTTATTGCAGTCTTATAAATAGATGTGTGACTTTTCACAGCCCTTGGATATTTTTGTTAACCTGTTATTTCTGTAGTTTGACCGACTGAATGAAATTGCCACTGTTTTCTCTTCCTGTGGCCAATTTTTTTCGCCCTGGATTAGGCGATCTGTTGTTTTGACTATTTACCAGCTTCAACAGCAATACTGATAAATGGCTCTTTAAACTTGTACAACAAATTTTAAATATTTACTTGTCATCTCACTTCAAGGACCAACATTGATTGATTTAGGTTAAATCCTTTAAGCCAGTAATTCCCAGTTGGGAACGCTGTTCAACGTTCCGATTCGTATTTGTGCTTAAAACATCCAACTTCATGATCTCCCACTTTGTATCCAGGATTCTATAGGGAAGAAAAACTTCTGCCTTAACTCTCTCTTTATTATCTGCCACTTGCAACATTGTAGCTAGAGGATATCCAAGCTGCTATTTCCCACTTACCTTTTTTGTCTTTGTAACTATTATAGGCAAACAAAGTATCTTTTTGTTGGACTGTTTTTCAGTGTTACTTCAGAGTTGGTAAAAATGAAATCTTTGTGAGGGAATATGCCAGGAAAAGTTGAAGGATTTCCACTGTGTTTCACCAGATTTTATTAATCCCCGTGCCCCCACAGACCCCTGAAACCACTTACTTCTCCACTCCCAACTTTATTCCACTAGATAGCAGTGTTTTCCTGGAAACCTGAGTTATGTTTAACTTTTTTCCTCTCTTTTTTATCCCTTATATTTAAACAAGTGATGAATTTTTCCAGTTTATTTTTTAATGTCTCGTTCATCTACTTATTAATACTTTTCACACTGTGTCCTTGCCTCCCAACGCTTAGACAACCCATTGTCTCTAAACTTACAGAATTTTCCTTTTTTTTCATTTCTGTATAAGTTCAGTCTGTTACACTGCCATGAAATTAATGTTTTTGAAAATAGTGATTTAAGACAGCAGTTACGGGGGGGCGGGGGGGGGAGTCCAAATTCCATAGCCTGGTAGTCAGGGTCCTTCATAGGATGGCCTCACTTCTGGGGTTTTTGTTTGTTTTCTTGATTTTTCAGCCTCTCTTACCACAATTCCTTCTGCTTTAGTCTGATTTATTTATTCCTTCTCAAATATATCAGTTAATAAACTAATCTGATTCTGTATTCAGTAGGATTTCCAAAACCATGCTTCCTCCCTGACTTCTTTGTGATGCCTTCTGGTCATTTCTATTTATTCTATTCTGGCTTATGTCTACATGCCAATGATAGTATTTTATACCCTTTATGACATCATTCTATAACAGGGGTCTGGTGTATTTTCTTTTTCCAGCAGTCACTTGGGTATTTTTTTTACTGAGATACAATTCACATACCATAAAATTCCATGGTTTTTAGTATATTCACAAAGTTGTACAACCATCACCACGATGTAATTCCAGAATGTTTTTATCACTCCAAAAAGGATCCTATAACCATTAGTCATCTCCCCTTCCTCCTCCTGTAGATATTTCCTAGAAACAGATTTATACAATATGTAGCCTTTGTGACTGCTTCTTTTACTTAACATGTTTGCAAGGTTCATCCATGTTGTAGCCTATAATCATTACCTCATTCTTTTTTTCTTTTTGTACACATTTTTTAAAAATTGTGGTAAAATACACAAAATTTACCATCTTAACCATTTGAATTCTACAGTTCAGTTGAGTACATTCACACTGTGCAATCAATTCCTAGAACCTGTTTATCTTGCAGGACTGGAACTCTATACCCATTAGACAATAAATCCCCATTTCTTCCTCCCCCCAGCCTCTGGCAACTACCATTCTACCTCTATGAGCCATCATTCTGTCTCCATAAAGTTGGCCATTCTAGGTACCTCATATGAGTGGAACCACATAGTGTCTGACTTTCTGTCATTGGCTTGTTTATTTAGCATAATGTTCTCAAGGTTGAGCCATGTAGGGTGGGTCAGAAACTCCTTTTTAAGCCTAAGTAATATTCCATTGTATGTCTATACTACATTTTGCTTAACCATTTCTCTGTTGGAGGACATTTGGGTTGCTCCCACCTTTTGGCTATTGTGAATAATGCTCCCATGAACGTGGGTGTACAAATACCTACGCAAGTCTCTGCTTTCACTTCTTTTGAATATATACCTGAAGGTGGAGTTGCTGGGTCATATGGTAATTCTAGTTTTAATTTTTTGGAGGAGCCACCATATTGTTTTCCATAACAACCGCACCATTTTGTGTTCCTACCAGTAATGCACGAGGATTCTAATTTCCTCATGTCTTCGTCAACACTTGTTATTCTCTGTGGTTTTTTTTTTTTTTCTTTAGTAGCTACCTTTCTAATGGGTGTGAGGTGATCGCTCATTGTGGTTTTGATTTGCGTTTCCCTAATGATTAGTGCGGTAATATTTTAATCTTTTCATATGCTTGTTAGCCATTTATATATCACCTCTGTAGAAATGTCTATTCAAGTCCTTTGAACATTTTTCAATTGGGTTTTTCGTTGCTGGGGAGTTGTAGGAGTTATTTATATATTTTGTATATATTGACCCCTTATCAGATGTATGATTTACAAATATTTTCTCCCATTCTGTGGGTTGCCTTTGTACTCTGTTAACTTGTCCCTTAGATAAACAAAAGTTTTTAATTTTGATGTAGTTCAGTTATCGATTTTTCACTTTTATTGACTGTGCTTTTGGTGTCTCCTGGCATATTTTTTATAACAGCTTTATTGAGCTATAATTCATATGCCATAAAATTCACCCTCTTAAAGTATACAGTTCAGTGGGTTTTAGTATATTCACAGAGTTGTGCAGCCGTCACCACAATCTGATCTTAGAATACATTTTGCTCTCCAAAGAGAAACCCCGTATTCATTAGCTCTCACTCTCCATTCTCCCCCAACTATGCCCCAGCTCTAGGTGGCCACTAATCTTCTTTGTATCTCTCCAGATTTGCCTATTCTAGAGATTCCTGATGTATTTTAAAAAACATTTTTAAATGTTTCTTTTTTGAGAGAGCACGAGTGGGGAAGGGGCAGAATCCAAAGCAGGCCCCAGGCTCCAAGCTGTTGGCACAGAGCCCAATGCAGGGCCTGAACTCACGAGCTGTGAGATCATGACCTGAGCCAAAGTCGGACACTGAACCGACTGAGCCACCCAGGCACCTCTCTGATGTATGTTTTAAACGAACATTGATTTATAGATTTTTCCCCCCTCATATCAAAATATCACACTTTAAAAGTTGAAGTTAAATGATTATTTTACTTCCCTGCCATATCTTTTCGTTATGTTATCAGTGTGAAATTGGGGCTCCTTTGGTAACATGCTGATGTTAGTTGTGCCCATGTGATTTGTGCCCTTGTGATTCATTCCCATTGAGGGGCCCTATTCAGTTGACTGCTGTCAAAGGAGGCCTAGAGAATGGTGGGTTGACTCTCTTGTATCCACTTTTGGCTTTTTTGTTGTTATAGCAAGTGTGGTATTTTTTTCTAAACAGGTCAGGAATATCCTGCCATAGTAGAATTTGCACCTTTTCAAAAAGCTGCAAAAAAGAAGACTAAGAAAAGAGATACCAAAGTTGGGACTATCGATGATGGTACAGTATAGCTCTAGTTATGTAATGCTATTGCCCTGGGTTTTTTAAAAAAATTACTACCTTTGTGGGAATTAACTGGATTCCAGTCTTTCAAATAGGAAAACACACAGAATAAAGTTTGTGAGAAATGTAATTCACTGGTGAAAACTTTGCTTAATTGTCGGAATAGAAGTGGGTTTCCTGTAGAGTTCCCACTCTGGCTGGTGCCATCTCATTCCTTCACCGTCAAGCAATATAGCATTGACTGTCGGGCAGTAAATTACCTTTGGTTTGTTGACTGGAAGACAATGGTGAAAAATCAGATGTAGCAAAGTACAACTCTTTGAGGTCTCAATGTATTTTATGATGATGATTATTTATTTATATATTTTTTAACGTTTATTTTTATTTTTGAGAGACAGAGAGAGACAGCATGAGTGGGAGAGGGGCAGAGAGGGACAGAGACCCAGAATCTGAAGCAGGCTCCAGGCTCTGAGCTGACAGCACAGAGCCCGACATGGGGCTCGAACCCACGAGCCGTGAGATCATGACCTGAGCCGAAGCCGGACGCTCAACCGACTGAGCCACCCAGGCGCCCCTTATTTATTTCTTTTGATTTCCATTTTTATAGAGAGGGAAGGTTTATCATTGAGAGCTGGGATGGAAAATTTTCTATACTTGAGGAACATAACCTAAAGTAGTGGAAGCGGCTAGTCCTATTTTCCTGGGCTTTGAATATGCAGTTAACTGCACACATAGTAATTACATTGAACTGGAATACGGGAACCGAAAAACTGGAATAATTGCCACGTAAGGTAAACTGGATCCAGATTTTGAGCTCTGTGTAATGTTATGTTGGATATGGACTTAGCTGTAACATTTTGTATCTGATATTTTGGAATCCTCTAGTTTGATTTCCGTTACTTATTATTAGAGTGGGTATTATAAAGAAAACACAGAAAAGATTCAACACACAGCTAGTGACTGATTATATCATAGATTCGGATCTGGAAGACTACATCAAGTGACATGCCCCACAGTGCACAGAAACTCCAAATACCAGCAATGGGATGACGCCAGTGTGTTACCCTTTCTGATGTCAGATGCGTCAAGAAAACTCCAGGAATCATCAGCTCCAGTGCAACATCTAGGACATCCCCCCTCAATATGTTGGGTTTACTTAATGTGTATTTATTTTTGAGAGACACAGAGCACGAGCAGGGGAGGGGCAGAGACAGAGAGGGAGGCAACAGAATCTGAAACAGGCTCCGAGCTGTCAGCCCAAAGCCCGATGCGGGGCTCGAACTCGAGAACGGTGAGGTCGTGACCTGAGCCGAAGCCAGCCGCTTAACCGACTGAGCCACCCAGGCGCCCCGGGTTGGGTTTACTTAAAGTGAGGTATGCCCATACAGGAATTGCTTACGTGCCATCTGTAATACTGTGAAGGTCCCATAACGACAACTTGCAGTTCTCACGTAAGTGTGAGTCTGGATTAGGTGGACAGTAACTTTTAAAAGCAAACTACTTAACATGCCTGGAGGTTCTGTTACAATGTGTGGTGTCTGCTTATCCCTGACTTGAGTGAGTATAGGGAATAGGAATTCCGAGAGTAATAGGCCAGTAAAGCCCTGAATGGTCTAGTGGGTATGTTTAGGTTTATTTTTAATCTTCCATGATGTAGAAAGTTTTTTTTTAAAGTCTGCTATATTTTCTGTTTACCGAAACAATTATTTAGATCCAGAATATAGGAAATTTTTGGAAAGTTATGCTGCAGATAATGAGAAAATGACATCTACTCCAGAGACACTGCTAGAGGAAATAGAAGCAAAAAATAGAGAATTAATAGGTAAGTGGGCAACAGGAATTAAGGGCAACGGCTTTTTCATCAGAAGACCTGACTCCTACTTCTGTCACTTGCTAGCTGTGTGACCAGGGGGAAGGCCCTAACTTCTCTGAGCCTCTGTGCTATAAAGTGCAGACGATAATACCTGCCTCACAGGATTATGTAAATGCATTGATAAGATGGGAAAAATGCTCCGTGACCTATTTTAATGCCACATAAATATAAGTAGAAAAAGTTTGAAGACTCATGGGACGTTTTGACGTCGGCAAGCCTTTGAAGATCAATTGGTATTTTCTGGTAACAAGCAGCTCACGTTCCTGAAAAACATGTGAACTGCAAATATCAAAAAATGAAGTCAGTTACTGCCAAATTGAAAACTCCTTGAGAAATTCTAGTTTGGACGTTGGCCCTAGCAGTAAATTGTCACTCTTCTCTCAGCTCCAAACATAAGCATAGCCCCTGACCCAGGATTTCCACTCCTAGGAATTTATCCAAAGGAAGTAGGCTTTCAAAAATGCTAACTACAAGGCTAGATAGCATTGTTCAGGATATTGGAAATTAAATTATTTTTCTAAAATGGATCTTATTAATGGATGCAGAGTCTAAGCCCATCTCTGATAATTTCCTTAGAATAAATTCCTGGAAGTGGAATTATGGGGACAAAAAGATGAGATATTTTTAGCGCCTTCCCCCAGTTTCTTCCCAGTTGAACAAATTTATATTGCCGTCTGAAACAAGAGACTATCCTTTGCACTTAATTCTCACTGACAGTGGGAATTAGTCTGTTAAAAAACTGCTTGAATTTGGATTTCTTCACTTTTGAAAAATGTATTTCAGACCTTCAGAACTGAAGCAAACTACCGTAAAACTCTTTTGTGATAATGTACTCGTGAACTGTTTTAAGGGGTATAGTTTTCCCACCTTGGGTGGTTGGCAGGGAATGTCAGAAAATGGAATCCTTTCTAGGGGTTGATAAGTATTATTAATAATCTGTTTACATTTATGTAGCTAAAAAGACAACCCCACTTTTGAGCTTCCTGAAAAACAAGCAGGTAAACCTTTTGTTTTTATAGTTCTCTCGATACTTTATATTTTCACTAGTTCGTAGTCCATAAGCATACGAGCATTGAATTGGGATCCTAGCGGAGAAACAGCTACCTTTTCTGCCATGATTCTTTGAAAGATGTGGCTCATTGGCCTCACTCTCTGGCCCTCTCCTTCGTGTTGTTGGGCCAAGGATGCACTGTGCAAACCCAGAGAGTCTTTAGATTATTCCAGAGACACTCCCTTGGTTTCCTAAAAGCCTCTGGAGATACGGCATGTAGGCAACAGTGGGGAGATCCTGATACTGGCAGGCCCTGGTCTTTATTCTCAGATTCTCAGTGGGGTGGCGAGGGGGTTAAAGAGGTAGAAAGTAGGAAGGAAAGACAGTCCCGTCTAGTGGGTGCCCGTCATAACTTTTGGATTAGGTTTTTGGTGATGTTTACCTTGTTTGAAGGCTTATGTGGATGTTTCTTTCCAGAGAATGAGAGAAGAAAAAAGAGAAGAAAGAAGGAGGCGAGAAATAGAAAGAAAAAGACAAAGAGAAGAAGAGAGGAGGAAGTGGAAGGAAGAAGAAAAACGAAAAAGGAAAGATATAGAAAAGCTAAAGAAGATAGACAGAGTTCCAGAAAGGGACAAATTAAAGGACGAACCAAAGATAAAGGTATGAAAATGATGTGAGCTGACTGCATGTTGCTAAAAATTGCATGTACTTCTTTAAATATGCATGCATCTTGTGCTGTTGTAAACATAATTTTTTTTAATTTGTTTTTGTCTTTGTGGGGGGGGGGAGGAGGTGAACCAATAGAAATCCTTCCTATGATGCGAATGGTATTGTTTTTAAAAATTCAAGATAATCTAAAAGAATTAAGTAATTTACATGATATTTTTTCATGAAGATCTGTTATTTTTATCACAGAAAATGTTCAATGTTTGGATTATTATTCTCAGTTCTTCATAAGTAAGGGCTTAGGGCTGGCTGGCATGAATTACGGGTTTTATTCAGCTTTTCCTTCATATTTGATACATGAAGTTGCCTCATCTGTTTGTTTTCCACTGTCTTCAGGTACACAGGTTTCTGTTACAAGCTGTGAATCAGAAAAATGTAAGGACCCAAGTACATGATACAGAGCACCTAGTATCATGTCACACACACAGGTCTTAGTTCATAATAAGTCCTTTTGGTGGTGGTGGTAGTGATACCTGTAGAAAACTCCTTCCAACTGACTTGAGTCTTCTTGAAATCTGAGCCATTTTCAATTCCTACCTTAGAAGGAAGCCCCAATGACTTCCTGATGCTCTGCTGGGTACCCGGAAGCTTTAACAATCTACGGCTAGAGGACAACCATGCCTAAATCGCTCTTTCTTTCCATATGCCTCTCCTAACGGGCTGCCTTGTGGGAGTATTAGGGATAAATATAGCCTGTGTTACACGCTTCCCTTTCACATGATTCTCCCCGTTACCGTCTCTCATCTGCCTGGGGATCTGGGAGCAGCTGATTGTGATGAACGCATCGCACCTAGGAAGAGGCGAGCTTGTAGAAAGCTCCCAGCCTTACCGCTTCCCTTCTGAGGGCATGGCTGAGGCAGCTCTTGCTTCCAGCAAACTTCCTGGGGAAGTACTGCCTAGTCCTTCAGAGAAAGGGAAAATCTCACGGAGATGGTGGCAGGGTCTCCTCCTCTTACCTCCTCAAAATGAAGCAGTTTATGGCCAGAGCGTGTTCCCCCAAGTCTCTCCTGGGCTCATTACAGGCGATAAGGAGCTTGGGCAGCAGGGTGGGGAGATTCCCATCTTAATTCTTTCCAGCGATCTCTCTCTGTCTGCCGTGGCACAAGTGACCTGACTTGCTGTTCCTATCAGCAAGGCAGAAGGTTGAGCCAGCCACACTAGAAACTTTCACGATTGTTCTTAATAGAGTAATGAACATCCTGGCTTCTAACAAAGATGTTCATTAGAAAAAATAAGAACACTTCCAATGAAACCTGCACATGGTATCCTCACTACATCGATGCTCCGTAGCGTCCAGTGTGGACTGGCCATTTGCCGTGGCTACGTGCTGCAGGCCTTCATGCTCAAGTCTTTCTTGTGGTGCTTTGCCTCTTGCTTGCTGACTCGTGTGATGCCTTCACCCTGAGATGAACCTTTGTATGATGCCTTCGCTCTGAGGCTCGAAATTCTTCTATTCTGCCTAAGAATCACTCTGAATATCCAACACTTGGGGATATTCTAGAGAGGTCTGTGGCAGCGATGGGAGAAAGAGACTGTTTTGTTAGCAATTTGGACTTCGTAAGGCACGTTTATTTTAGAATTGCATTTTGTCATATGTATGTGTGTCATATATATGCATGTGTATGTATATATATGTGACATTGAGCAGAGTTCCTACTCCGTAGAGACGGAACCTCACCGTTCTGTGAGGCCTTTGGATTTTTAAATCAAATGATGAAAATTATGTCTGATCGTACCATCATAAGTGTGTTATTCTCAGGCTCAAGGCAGAATTATTCTTGCAATGGATCCCTCCTTTGGTGACAAAGGTATCGGTCACTCCAAGCACGACAGGCAAACGGCTGTCCAACATTACTGTCCAACAGTAATGATCTGCCCGGCATCTTCGATTTGTGGCCTATTTTCCCATCAAGTTACATCAGTATGCTAGCTGGCTACAGAAGGCATACTTGGAAGCGTGCACTGTTTCACTAAAAGGTTGACCCATTTCAAGCCAAAGGAGTCTTGATCCTATTGCCACAAGTGATTAAACCACCTGGAGTGGATAACACTTTCCACGTTCATAGCCTCCTTTTAGTCAATTACTGCTCTCCGTGCGCTAGTTCTTAACCTGGAAGTTTAAGAGTAGCTGCAGAAAAAGGCCTCCTATAGCCTAAATTTAAATCACTTGGAATATTGTTTTCTCGGGTAGAATCAGAAGAGAATGTCCCACCCTTGAAAATAAGAATACGTTTGTTCTCTTTAAAGCTACTCAAGAAGCCAGAAAAGGGAGATGAAAAAGAATTAGACAAAAGAGAAAAAGCCAAGAAACTAGACAAAGAGAATCTGAATGATGAAAGAGCCAGCGGGCAAAGTTATACATTGCCCAAGCGCTCTGACGGCGAGCCTAAAGACGAAAAGCCTAAGAGGTCAGTGGCCGAGGGCTCCTTGGGACACTCCGTTTTCAGCCTGTTTCAACGTGCCAGTTTTACCGCTGTGTCCTGGCTGGTGCCCGAAGGGGGGCGGGAGTGCAGGGGATGAGGAGGAAAGGTTTCAGATATTCTAGCATCTTAGTCTGGGCGAACGAACTTATGGGTTTTGTTACTGGTTTTCAAAACGCTCGCGTGTTTTCACCCTGCTCCAAAAGCACAAGGTCACCCGTCGTGGCCGCGTCCTAACCGGAGCGCCTCCGTGCACGGGAGCAGGCCACAGGGAGCAGGCGGCGTTTGGAGGTGCCATCTGAGATCTGTTCCCCACGCAGGCCCGAAGACGAGGGCGGCCGAGACTACCGGGAGCGGGAGCGGGAGCGGGACTACGAGCGGGACCAAGAGCGCCTCCTGCGGGAGAGGGAGAGGCTGAAGCGGCAGGAAGAGGAGCGCCGCAGGCAGAAGGAGCGTTATGAGAAGGAGAAGGCTTTTAAGAGGAAGGAAGAGGAAATGAAAAAAGAGAAAGAAGCGGTTCGGGACAAAGGAAAGAAGCCGGAAAGTACCGAATCCGTAGGCAGCTCCGAAAAAACTGAAAAGAAAGAGGAAGTGGTTAAGAGAGATCGCATAAGAAACAAGGTGGTGCTTTTTGTTCTGTTTGTTTCCATGAGGACTTTTGCCCTCCTCTCGCACGTGTAGAGGCGAGGGCCAGCTCGCTGTGTGTGGCAGACTTTTTACAGGGGATCTTTAACTGTCTGCAACCTTTTTTCGGTCTCGGTGCGGTCCTTTGATTAATTTCTTGTAGGCATTTCAGACACACACAAAAGTAGAACAGAGAAGAACAAGACACACGCTTCAGCAGTTACCGGCTCCCGGCCAAGCTTTCTACTCTACCCCATCCCTGCCCCTACTGATGCTTTTCGAGCAGATCCTAGACACAGAATTTCTTCTTTAAATACGTCGCTATTAGAGACAGAGATTCTTTTTCTTCATAGAACCCCGGTAGCATTTTCACACCAACCCCACCCCCCCAACACACACTAGTAAGTCCTCAGCGCCCTACCTACTGCGTTTTTCCCAATCGCCTCATTAGTAACTTCTTGATAGGCTCCAAGCAAGGTCCACCAATGGTATTGTATCCTTAGGTCTCTTTTAACCTAAACAATCCCCCCTCCTTTTGTTTTCCTGCCCTTTATTTGCTGCAGAAACCACTTTGTCCTGTGGAACTCTCAGCTCTAAATGGTCTATCTTCTACGTTTCCTTGAAAACTGGTAGTTCTATCTTGAAAAACAGGGGTCGGCCGATTTTTTTTCTGTAAAGGGCCCGATGGTAAGCACTGTAGGCCTTGTGGGCCATATGGTCTCTATCACAACCACTAAGCTCCGTAGGAAAGCAGGTATAGATAATGTGAAAAGAGTGAGTACGGCTGTGTGCCACACTCTGTTCATGAAAACAGGCGGCTCCTCACCCACAGGCCTGAATATATTCAGGCTCAATTTTTGGCGACAACACTTCATAGATGGAGGGGCGCCTGGCTGGCTCGGTTGGTAGAGCACGCGACTCTTGATCTCGGGGTTGTGGGTTCGAGCCCCGTGTTGCATATAGAGGTTACTTAAAAATAAGATAATTAAAAAAAAAAAATACTTCATAGACGGGTGTTGTGTACTTCCTATCGTATGATGTCAGGAAACATGTGATGCCCGGGCGCCCCGTTAGTGTAATGCTATGATCAATCCATAGCAATTGCATTGTGGTTATGGAATAGGATGTCCTTGTTCTTAGGGTATACAAGCTGAAATATTTAGGGATGAAGGGTCATGATGTGTGCAACTTAAATGGAAAAGAATACGTACTAGAGGCTGAAAAAGCACATGACAAAACGTTCATAATTGCGAATCCAGGAGAAGGGTACTAGGTGTTCACTATGCAGGTTTTGCAACATTTCTATAGATTTAAAATTTCTCAGGGTGAAAAAATTGAACAAACAACCAATCAGTAGGTTCAGGTATTGTAAGCCTGACCCATGTATTCTAAACATTTTTAGCCTGAAATTCAGTGTATCCAGGAAAGGCAAGATAGACACTTGATCCTTTCCCTTTATGCACCAGCATTCAGAGTAATGAGCTGGGGTCCCAGCAACTTCTAGGTCATCTGTGAGTTTTGCCTTGTCATAAGAACTTGTGGATTTAGAAATATTTGATGGATTCCAACTTGGTTTTATCAGTTATCATCCTTGTTGACGTTTAAATTGTCCCATCTTTGCACAGCGGGAGCCCCATCATCCGTTTCTTCAAATACTGTGCAGGAATCTTTGTCTGTTTTAACATCTCATCTTATAAAAACATTGAGACATTTTGCTGGAATTATTCAGTTGAGGCTAATGCTTTAAGGCTAGCTTTCAGACGCTAGGGAGAAAGGGTAAGGAAGGCTCATGTAATCTTTTTGTTGAGTTCTAAAAAGGACCTATACATCTAAGTTTTCCAGGATCACACTATCATAAACCACACGCATGACTTGAACCGAGAGGTACATGATGACTTTGTTGAGGCTTATTAGGAATTGGAGATCGAAAGAGCCACCCAGAGAGTCTCAAGCTGGGGTGTTAAACTGTCATACGTGAATTAAGAAATAACCATGCTTTGTGGCAAGTTGCATGGGGTATGAGCTCGTAATTTCAGGGGGGTCTTCACTAAGACTTTGCATTGTTTTTTTTAAGGTTTTTATTTATTTGGGAGAGAGAGAGAGAGAGAGAGAGAGAGAGAATCCCAAGCAGACTGTGTGCTGATAGCTTGTCTACTGTGGGTCTAGAACTCACGAACTGTGAGATCAGGACCTGAGCCGAAATCCAGTCGGACACCTAACCGACTGAGCCACGCAGGCGCCCCAAGGCTTTGCCTTCTTCATTTTGGTTTTCCTCCTAAAACTTTGCTATGTGGTAGCGAATGTTAAAGTCCGTTTACGGATGAGGAGGAGAGACAGGCGATGGCTGAGGTTTCTAAGTAAAGAGAATTCAAGCTAATTCAGCTCATCTTGAGATGGTTATAAAAATTAGACTTATTGGAAACTTACCCTCAGCGTACACAATAATACTTAATAAACTGTTGCTCTTCTTTGGAGAGAGGGGAAAGGAGGCGGGAGGTTAAAAGCAAGTTAACCATCAACACTGTCGTGTCCTGTGCCCTCACGTTTCTGGTCTCGTAGGGGTTGTTTCGGGGTACATACCAACCTATAATTCGTGACTCCGAAGACCCCCTGGGAATGTCTGGCGGCGATGTCGTGACATTAACATTTCATTTTACTTTAGGATCGCCCGGCAATGCAGCTTTACCAGCCAGGAGCTCGAAGCCGAAACCGACTCTGTCCGCCTGATGACGGCACCAAGTCTGGAGATGCGGCGCTAGAAAAGAAGCAGGAAAGTGGTATTAGCCATAGGAAAGAAGGAGGAGAGGAGTGATAAGTCCAAATGGCCTTAGGTGTCCTGACTGTCTAGGCAGCCAAAGAGCACGTATTAAGCAATCCAGAAGTGCCTTCAGGGCAAAGGAATAGAGACAGAGGAAGGGATCGCTGGGCTGGTGAGGTACACTGCAGAGGAGTACGTTCTTTTTTTTTTTTTGTTCTTTTTTTTTTGCGTCCGAGCAGGAGCCCGGCTGCAGGTTCAGGTTGGAAATACAATTTCACTTTCTTATGCAGTTCCTACAAAGTCATTTTAAAGTGTCAAAGATGAGGGAGGGGCCACGCAGTGCGGTTTGCAGGCGGGAAATGTCCAGTGAGGAGTTAATTAGGTGCCACCTGAGGAGAGTAAAAAAAAGACAGCTCGTTCTGTAATCAAAGGTTTTGGTCAAACCCTGGATTGAACTTTTCTGAATCCGAGTGGAACAGAGTCACTGTGAAGTCTTGTTCAGATCTAATTACATTCATTGTTGGTGATAACTGTTGACCGTGTAGCGTAGACGCAACGAGCATGTAATTGTAGCACAAGGACAGTGAAGGGTATAACACGTTGGCGCCTGTGCAAAAACTTAATTATGTCGTGTCTATATCCTGGGTCCTGGAGTTTGGGGATTAGTTGTAGTTTTTTATTTGCTTATGTGAGCTTAGCGCCAAGAATATTTTTAAACCTCTCCTTTTTGCCTTTAGCGATTTTGATATTAATGAGTAAAATTTAACCTGTGTTTGGTTCTTGACAATCCAGTCTTTGTTTTATCTTAGGACCGACGATCTGAGGGCATACCCTCTCTGGGAAGGAAACTGCACCAATTTCTGTTCCTGTCAGATAGCTACTTTTAGTCCTAGCTTGTTTTGCATTGATGTCAATAAATACCAATATCACTCAAGTATGAAGCTAAGTGTTTGGGTTTTTTTATTACCTTTACTAACTAGCTATTAATTTGGAGAGATGAGGGGCGCCTGGGTGGCGCAGTCGGTTGAGCGTCCGACTTCAGCCAGGTCACGATCTCGCGGTCCGTGGGTTCGAGCCCCGCGTCGGGCTCTGGGCTGATGGCTCGGAGCCTGGAGCCTGTTTCCGATTCTGTGTCTCCCTCTCTCTCTGCCCCTCCCCCGTTCATGCTCTGTCTCTCTCTGTCCCAAAAATAAATAAACGTTGAGAGATGAGCCTTTTGATACTGAATTCACCTCTCGGGAATTTTGAAGGGGGACGAGCGATATTCGCTTCTGCCTTCGCCAGCGTTAGGCCTTTGCTTTGCCCACCAAGATCAAATCGTGGTTCGCTACTCTTGTTCCTCAAGAACCAGAATGTCCGGACGGCATCCTGCCAGCCTCCCCTAAGGTGGTGTCGCTCTGCCGTTACCGAAGTCACCGCTTCATGTTTTCCTCAGCTTTGAGAAAGCAGTTTCCCAAGAAGCAGGGAAAGAGGAGGAGCCATCAAAGGTTCCCTGAAGGGAATGCTCCTCAACTGGGAGACAGCACCCAAATACGGGCAGGGAGACCGTCAGAGAGAGTGGCTGCCGCTGTTCCGTGCCGCGTGGCGGTGATGGAAGACAAGAAAGGTGCTTGTTGCGCTTGGCGGTATTGAGGTCACCGGTGAACTGATGGGGGCAGAAACCATGTTATAGTGAGGGGTGAGTGGCGTGTAGGAAATAGAGATGGGGGCAGCTGGATAAATGGACCTTGGAGCTCAGAGAAGAGATTTGGGCTGGAGATACAGGTTTGGAATTCATCTGTTTGTTTTTTTTTTTTTTTTAACATTTATTTATTTTTGAGACAGCATGAACAGGGGAGGGTCAGAGAAAGAGGGAGACACAGAATCCGAAACAGGCTCCAGGCTCTGAGCGGTCAGCACAGAGCCCGACGCGGGGCTCGAACCCACGGACCGCGAGATCATGACCTGAGCTGAAGTCGGACGCTTAACCGACTGAGCCACCCAGGGGCCCTGGAATTCATCTGTTTTTAGGTGATCGCTGAAGCCATGGGTCTAGATTTAGTCACTTAGGGTGAGACGGTAAAGAAAGAACAAGCAGACCTAGGGCCCAGCCTTGAAGAACGCGAAGGTGACAGGGAAGGAAAAGTATCTACATGGGGCGCCTGGGTGGCTC